CTTTTGGTGAATTTGGACAGGACATCTTCACAAATTCACTCCACCTTCAGGCACTTATCCATATTGGAAACAAACCTACCCTCAGCTCTCATTAAACAAAAAATTTCCAAAGAACCTTAACTTTGTTGTTTATGACACATACAACACCCAGGAAACTACTTAATTATTCAGCAATATCGTCCTCATACAGACTCTCACCATTAAGAAATTATTGGACAGCTCAGCTCAGCTTCATTCAAAGGAAATGACAGGAAGATTTCATAGAATCATAGAACGGTTTGGGTTGGAAGGGACCTTAAAGATCATCTAGTTCCAATCCCCCTGCCATCAGCAAGGAAATTCTCTCAACTTAGAATGTTCTAGGTGAGAATTCAGTGCCACCTTACATTGCCTGATTAACACCCAGAAAGAGCAGAACTATAGCATTGGCTATATATATTCTGCTTCTCCAGACTATTTAGAATATAACTTCAAAAAAACCCAAAACAAAACAAAAACACACACACAACTTACAAGCTCATCACTGCCCTTGTTTACGTCTTTACCTGTAACAGAGGTATAAAATTTGGTGAGTTTTGGTGACTGGACTTTCTTTAACCAACTTAAAAGTACATTCTTGCATTGCACCTCATTTCCAAGAACAAGATAAACTACTTAGAAACCATGCTGGACTTGCGTATATGTTGAAACTGAAAAACCACAAATACAGCTCTTTCAGAACTAGAATTCGTTTCTTCTTTTGACTTCTACTGGTGCACGTAGTAAGTGGAAAGATGCGCAGGCTCGACTCCAGCCATCCTGACCAGAGAGTCTACTGTCAAAATCCCAGGCCCAGAAGATATTTGGACAAGAGCTTAAAATGCAATCTGTTTAACAGCCACGTGACCACAGCACTTCCATGCTCCTCCTTCTGAACCCTGTGCCAATGTTGCAAAGTCTGTCCCACCTGTACCAAGTACACAGATTTCCATCATGTTTAACGAGACCTTTCTCTTTTTGAGATACAGTCTAAAACACCAGGTGGTTTTTGTTTTTGTTGTAAATACAAGGATATCTGGAGCACAGCCTCCACAGAATATTAGCCAGCTAACCTCTGATGCATGGGATCCATTTTATAAAGGAGACCAGAACATCGACTAAGCAGTCAAAAGAAAAACCAGCAGCTTTTGCCAGGGATCAATAATCAGAACAGGAAATAGTAAGAATAGGCACTCGGTTTTCACAACAGAGGAGGTTAAATGTAGAGCCCCACAGAGGTCTCAGCTGGGGCCTGAGGCTGTTCAAGGAATTCAAAGAAAACCTGGAAAATGAGACATTAGTGAGGTGATAACAGTTGCTAATTATATGAAAGACATTATTACTATTATTACTATCATTAATTAGAAAAACAAATGCACGCTTCCCTTAGGAAAATAGAAACAAATACCGTGAAGTTCAGTGTCACCAAATGTAGTCAAGCACAAGGAAGAAAATCACGTGTTCCATATACACGTGCTGGCTCCAAACACTATTCTGCTCTATTTCAAATCCATCGTACAGCCATACAGCACACAGTTTTGCTCCCTCTAACTCAAAGACACGGTAGATGAAGGGAAAGGGAAAAGCAAGACACAGATCACAGATGTTTCCAGAAATTTTCCAAACATAACCATACAGACTTACCACAAGATACAGTTTGCTGAAATGAGTTGAGTTCTAGATACATAGTACAAATGTAGGGATAAGGCACAAGACTGACATTCTCATGTTTGAATCTCATCTTCGATACTCTCTCCCATTTACTCAAATCTGAGAACAATGATAAGAACATAGCACTAACATTTCAAACGAGCAGGAATCCTGACAATGTCTTCTGTAACGCTTCAAAAGTCATATCAAACTGCATATGTATATAAGGGAAGAAATACAAGCTGTTGGTTTGAACTTTGTGAAAAAACACTAGTAACACATTACAAGAAACATTCAGGAGATACTCTCCCATCAGTCACTTGTATTAATAGTGTTGTGTTTCCTTAACTGTATTTGGCTTCACTCCTGATATTCTCCTGCAGGAAACACCATGGCAGGCTCTCCCAATCCTATGAATAAAAAACCTCATCAGCTTTCTTAACTAAAAAGTAATTCTGTTAAAAAATATTTTTTAAATTGAAAAGGTCTAGGGTTCATAAGAGTAGCATCATTACATTTACTTCACAGTTCAAACTGGGAGGAAAAAAGACAATTGACATGACAACCAGTACAGAGACGTTCCTTCCTGTGGGTGCAGTTCGGACACCTCGGCGTTCATGTATGCAAGAATGGATGACATGAGACAGCAGTCTCCATACATACCTCTCATCTCAGGAAGAAACAAGTAAAATGAATATGTTTAGTCCATTTGCTAGCAGAAACTAACATCCTGAGGACTGCAGATGGAGCCCAAGATTTGCCTTAAGGCATGAAATTGCTCGTCTGAGTTTGGCTTCAAGGACTCCCACAGCCACTGATTAACTAAGAGTTGTGCTGCAGCGGGGAGCCTGACACATAGATTGCTGGACAACTCATCATGCCAGGCCTCAGTGTGCAGTTCTCACCAGGGCCCAGTGCTGGTTGAGCACATGGATGGACTTGCAAGTTCTAGAAATACAAGTCTGTGAATCAAAAACACCTCAAGTACTCAGGCAAAACTGGCTGAGCTTTAGTGAAGCAAACCAACAGTGAGGCTCTGTTTGTTCGGGTGTTTCCTGTCTGATGATACTCTTGGTTACTTTCTACTCCTGGCAGTAAGTTCTGGTTTAGATAGGATAGAGTTAATTTTCTTCTTAGTAGTTAGAATAGCTGTTTTAGTTTCAGTGTAGGATTTGTTATGAGAAGAATGTTGATAACGTACTAATGCTATTAGCTGCTGCTGGAGCTCACGGTCATCATGTTTGGATGGTTCACAAATGCATTAGGACCAGGAGGGAGAAATGCAGTGAATAGCAAAAGCCAAAATTGACATTTGGATATGCTAATGAGATATTCCATATCATATCATGTCATGTTCAGTATAGTAACCCAGGCTGACTGGAAATTGGAGGTATTCTCTCAGGGATCACTCGGGCTCTTGCTCTTCCAGGGTTTTGGTTTCTGGACTGTCTCTGCGCTGGGACTGCTGTCTGGGAGAGGTTGGGCATCAGTCGGTGGGTGGTGAGCAACTGCGTTGTGCATCACTCATTTGTATATTCTCTTATTAGTGTTATCATTATCATTTTATTTCAATTAGTAAATTGTTTTTATCTCAACCCATGAGTCTCCTTGTCCTTTTCCTTCCAATTCTCTCCCTCATTCCCTGCGGGAGAGAGGGGGGTAGTGAGACAGCAGGCTGTGTTTGTTTACAAAGCAAAAGGGTGAAACCACCACACAGTAACAGGAATAAGTTGTTATTACATGTACCAGCTTCTGAAAGAGAAAGAGGATGACCTCATTCTTGCCTGCTCTTATGAGTTGTGGCAATAATGCAGTCTTCCAGGACTGGAAGGAAATGCTTTGGACATGGAAACACGTGGGTGTTATCATTCCTGGGCACCCAGAACCACAGGAGGTGATGCCAAAGGGCCTGAGCTGATCCACAAACTGACACCCCTCAGGACTGAAGAGGCTTCTCATTCAACTAACTCACTTTTCTCTTCAATAAGAGCCTCAGGAAAGAAACTTATTTTTAACCCTTCACTCTACAGCAACTACACTGTTTAATCCTAATGTGCCTTACAAGAAAAGGTACTGCAGTCTTCTCTACTAGGGGGCCAACGCTGCTGAGCCTGTAAGGAGCATGTTATGTTTTATTAACCTTTTGAAACAATGCATTAGCTTTGCTTGCAATCACATTAGGTGGGCTTCCTGTGACTTTATAGAACACTTTTATTTTCTCTGGCTAAATCAGATTTGGAATGCAGGGGTGTTCATCTGAAAACACTGTAAAACATTCTTTTCACATTAGTTCTCTCCCTGGTGAAGGCGACAATTGAAGAGTCTCTTCAGCTAACCTGCAAAGCTCAAAATAGTCATACTCCAGCTAAAGATCTGCACACTACTAGAAATGAAAGTTGAATTAAGCAATGCCCAAGAGTTACAAGTCACCGGATCTTTTTGAGTAGGAAAGAAAGGATACATGGAAAGATAGTGAAGTGGTCTGTAGAAAATGGATGTAAATCATCAAGATTTCCAAGGATTACTCGAATTGCTTCCTGGAGAGGCCAAAAAAATAAATTAAGGAAGAATATTAACAATAAAGCCACAATTCCACTGTGATGTACAATTTCAAAGCTTGTGAAAAGTTTAGAATTACTTTGTATGAATCATGGAAGAGCAGGTTCTAGATATTTTGCTTTTCCTCCTCCACTCCTTCACCCTGCTCCCTCCCATTGCCTTAGAATGCTCTGCACTAACAGACGCACAGAAATTGAAGTGAATTAATATCTTAATCTTCAATTAACACAGAAGCATTACTATGGAGAGTGGAGGTGTGCTTTTAAATTTAAGATGTTTTAAATTTAAGAAGTCTCCTTTTTGCCAGCAAAACACATGTAAGATTAACCTGTTTCAAAAATAAACATATCCCTCTTTTTCTGAATATTGACCCAATTCAGTTACAAAGGAATTGTAACTCAACCCAAACAAACTCCTGCTTTAGAAACAGTAAAGTTTACCTAGTAATATCTTTCAAAAGGGAAAAGAAAACAATATTAAACAATAATTTTCCATATCAATTAAAATGAGCACATTTTCTTCAATAATATTTACAATGCCACTACTGTACTCTGCAGATTTTCTAAAATTAAGTAATAGGAGCATTTTTAAGCAGGCAGTATATTTGTGTCATTTTCCTAGGAACAGCAAGGGCCTTCTTCTGTCTCAGGAAGAAGGCGACAACAACAGAACTCATCGGTTGTGACCACACTTGGTCACAAAGTTATGACACCATTAAAAGAACATGCACTGGTTCTACTAGCTCCACAGCTAGGAGGAAAACGTGCAATTGAGCATTAGATTAACCTCTGCCAGCCTAGCTCACCAGCACTGCCACAGCTCCTGAAAAATATAGGAGGGTCTGACAGCTAGTCAAGCTTGAGAAGTTAAAAGCACTGGTCAGGTCTGGAGCTAAGAGTGAAACCATGGGAAAGTGCTACTGCAGAATGAATCTGACCAGGAATCAGAAAGGAATGGGCTGCAACTAGCTCGACAAATACAAGTTTTCATTTGTCCAATTTTAAAAGTCTGTAGCTTCTTTGAAATGTTCCAAATAAAAACATTACTCTTCTACGCTAATGCTGCCTGTTGATGACGTTTTTCGTTTACATCATTTTTTTCACCTTTGTAATCTCCAGAGAAGTTCCCCCATTACTCTAACTCAAAATGTTGCATTTGACAAAATGTTCTCAGTCCCATAACAAACAAAATATTTGCTCAGCTTAACATTCAGCTAAGGTCATGTTGACCTGCTTCATCTCCTACCTCTAACTCCTTGACAGCACTTCCAGTGTTGTTGAGGTCAGGAGCACTGTGAAACAAACAGAGAGGTAGTCCAATCCCAATCAAAAAGCAATGGAGCTACATTCATTGTAGGAGATCAAACAACAATAAAACATCACTCCAACTGCACAGAGAAAACACGTAGCAGGCAGATGAATTCCTAATTTATTGTTCTTAAAAAACATCTACTATTCTACAAGGACTGATTTTTTTTCAATTTTGGGAGATCAGATCTTTCCAGTCAATCCTCAGTAACCTTCAGGATTGTTTTTTTGACAGGATGCCCTCAAACCAGGACCTGTCTTCCAGCCTATTGTGATGCCATTCTACTCAAGGGACTAAAAGAACAAACCGGCAGGATATGTCTCTTAATCCCCTCCATGGTGCAAACCTGCAGAGGAATGGGCCTTCACGGCATTGGAGCTACATCCTGTGACACTGAGAGCTGTGTACTGCCTGCATCAGACTGTGTTCCCAAATATCAACTACATCTTTTGCAAGCCAGCTTCTCAAAAGTTGTTTGCTGCTAGGTATAGGCCAACAATAAAATGCACAGGAAGAGAGAAGGTCTTAAAGAAAATTCAAACCCATTAAAAAGTAAACAAATCACATAACTGTTCCTTGGAAAAAGTAAATCCAGTGGAGCGTAAAGAATTATGGTATCAAATATTCTCTGGTATATGGTTTGGTAGGCAGCCATTCTCATATCCTCCCCAGCCAGAACTTGGTCAGAGATGAGACCTTCCCTTCCTCTTCAGAAAGGCGCTCTCCTTGCTTGATACGGAACAAGTTAATGAAAGGAATTACACAGTGTTCCACAGCACAGATGTTGGATATTACGCACTCAGTACTTACGCTGTGGTCATGAATCTTGATGGATCAGCAGGGAAACAAAGGTACAATTCAGGAAGGGATGTTGCTGTGGTGACGAAGTAACGAGGGTGGAAAGAATGGAAGAAAGCAAGGCACCATGCAGGGTCTCATGACAAGGATGTCAGACCTGCTATCTGACTGCAGGGGATGCGTTGGTTGGGTTGTGAGGGGGCTTGGGGAGGAGGGGGTGATTATTTTATTTTAAGTCTGGAGTGTAGAGATGCAAAAACAGACTCATCTTTGAATTGTTAAAGAAATCACTGTTGCCGGGTTTTCCCCAGGGATTCAGGAGACCTTCAGTAAAGATGACCTCGCTCAAGCAAAAGCCTATGTAGATAATATGCTCTATGATCAGCTGGGATCAGCTCTTGCAACTCTTTCAATGTTCTTCCAGGAACTGGTCCTCAGATCGGTCACCATCTTACTGTGGGGAAAAGGAGTTTCAGCTTCCAAATCTGCAGGCTGACTGACAGCATTGCTTGGGGCATAACGCTACGTATGCACTTATGACTTACTCCTTTACTCTCTTTTATGAATTGAGAGTGAATCCAGATGTTTTGAATAAATACTCCGTACTTACCACAACCATGACATGAAGGGGAAGAGTTTCACAAGTTTTGCTGCTTTTGCTATGTTTGACCATGTTGATACAAAGACCAACTTGAGGAGCTCACTATCAGCTCCAGAAGTTACTATGAAACACAAAAGGTGCCACAAAAGTCTCCTGACCTGTTCCCTCAAGTACAAGAATGAGTTCCAAGAACTGATGCTGCAATGCACACCAACTGTGAGACCTGAAGGGACAATGACAAGACTGCCAAACTCAGACAATCGTAGTGCTCTCTTTACCATCAGATCAAACACCTGCAGGCTGCTCAGAAATGTACAGATACATTTGGAAGGCTGTGCCTTCCAAAGGGATTACGATGAGGGAAATTGCTTACTCACAGACAAAAGCAACATTTCAAAGACCTTCTGAACGCTACACGACACTGACACCAGAAGACAAACACAGCTTCCTCTCCAAAATCAACACAGAGAACAAAACAAGGAGGAAGGTTAATCCTCCTGGACCTAACACTATTCCAGCAAAATGCTAATAAGCAAAGCTAAAGAAAGAATTGCATTTCAAGTCATCCCAAAATGAAGTCATGCAATAGAATTTCAAAGAGCCATCCTACAAAGGAAAAAGGAGACAAGCGTGGCATAAGATTTAAGGTAGCTTCAGGCCTGGAGACAGCCTAAATGGCATGAAGTCCGTATCCATCCTTCTGCAGCAAACAAGAGTCATTTCCAGAGTAAACTAGGGCTTTGGCAATGTCTGTGCACATCTGATTGCAAAAGGAAATCCACTCACACTCATAAAACCACGCTCTAGGCAGATGCTTGACTCACTGCCTGTGGCATTTTAGCCCTGCTGCAACCTCACTGGCAGGAAAACAGGGTTTTCAGGATGGCACAATGCTGTTCTGTTTCTCTGATGAAGGATACTTGTTGACCCAAAAGGATCTCAGTCCTAGTTTCTGCACAGTGGTCACCATCTGAAAAGAGATTTAAGCTCAAAAGTTTGTAAGACCTTCCAAAAGCCTGTGAGGGTATCAACCTTGAACTGCTGTTTGATGATGATCACCGCCTTGAAGGATGCACACAGGGAACCACTGCTTTGGGGTTTTTTAATTAATATTTATGAATATTATCATTATTAATTATTTATCAGAGGCTGAGACAGTAACAAATCACCATGTTTCAGACCAAGTTTGAGCTCTACAGAACACTCCTTCAGCAGTACACAATTTATAAGCACCTGCTTTGGAATACTACCCTTAAACCTGAGCAGCTCCAGCTCCCTTGCCAGAGTAGCTCAGACTTCTGTGATTATTGTAGACTGCAGCCTCCAGGATTCCGAGTCCCCTCTCAAACTAAAAGCTCCTTGAGTGAGCTGGTCAAGGTTTTGCCCACCCGCAAAAGCACTTCCCCATCATCTCTGTGTGTCTGACCAGCGGATACAAGCAGACTCCTCCAGGGCAATACCCTCAAGGGAAAGTCTTTTTTCCACCTCTAAAAGATCATCCTCTGTACTTGTTTGACATCTTTCCCATCAGACCATACTACTCAGCACCCTATGCTTTAGTAACTTTGCTGGCTACTAACTAGAACTTCCAATTGGAGGCTTACCACACAACTGTTACACCCCACAACCCTCCTATTCATCATCCCCTGCACACCCAAAGGCTGTTTTCCTTTCTCTTCCTTGCATGTGTCCTGGTTTCAGCTGCAATAAAGTTGATTTTCTTCCTAGTAGCTGGTACAGTGCTGTGTTTTGGATTTAGGATGAGAAGAAAGTTGATAACATGCTGATGTTTTAGATGTTGCTAAGCAGTGTTCATATTAAGTCAAGGACTCTTCAGCTTCTCTTAATGCCCTGCCAGCAGAGGCTGGGGATACACACGAAACTGGGAGAGGACACAGCCAGGACAGCTGACCCAAACAAGCCAAAGGGGTACTCCAGACCATATGATGTCATGCCCAGTATATAAACTGGGGGAGCTGGTTGGGGAACACTGCAGCTCAGGGAATGGCTGGGCATCGGTCAGTGGGTGGTGAGCAATTGTACTGTGCATCACTTATTTTGTATATTTTTATTATTACTACTACTACTACTATTATTATTTTCCTTTCATTTTCTGTCCTGTTAAACTGTCTTTAACTCAACACACAAGTTTTACTTTTTTTCTGGAATCCCTCTCCCAACCCACTGGTAGAGCAGGAGTGAGTAAGCAGTTGTATGGTGCTTAACCACCAGCTGGGGTTAAACCATGACAGCATGCCAGCACTACCACAGCCTAAAATACTCTCCCTTCACCCTCATTCTCAGGATTGCCACTACAGTGCCTTCTAGAAATTGAGAGAAGCAGTTATCCTAAAAGTCCTGCTCTGCTTCTCTGCGGGCAGGAGAGGTACGCCATTGTTTCAAAACAGGACAGGTTTGTCACAAACACATTTGAAAGAGGAGTGGCAGTGGAAAGGGGACCTTGAGAGAAAAAAATCCTGAGAGCACAACAAGCACCCACTGCCGGCGGCTAGTGAGACTCTTTCTACATCCACACTTGAGCGCCAGATCCAAGGCCAGAAAAAGGCACATTGCTAGCCGCAGACAGCCCAAAGAATAAGTACATACTTTGAGTACAGAGCTCCAAGGCAGTGCTGGTTCTCACTGGTACAGAGTTAATTTTCTCACAGTAGCTTGGATTGGGTTGTGTTTTGTATTTGTGCTGAAAAGAGTGTTGGTAACACATGGATGTTTTAGTTACTAAAACATCCATGCAGGGCTTACACAGTGTCAAGGCCTTTTCTGCTCCTCACCCCACCCCATCAATGCATAGGCTGGGGGTGCACAAGTTGGGAGAGGACACAGCTGGGACAGCTGACCCCAACTGACCTAAGGGATATTCCAGACCATAGGGCATCACTCCCAGCAATAAAACCAGGGGAAGAAGGAAGGGGGGGACTCTTGGTGTTGTTGTATTTGCATTCACAAGTAACCATTAGGCATGATGGAGCCTTGCTTTCCTAGAGATTAAACACCTGACTGCTGATGGGAAGCAGTGAAGGAATTCCTGATTTTGCTTTACTTATTAAACTAGCTTTATCTGAACCCATGAGTTTTCTTACTTTTACCCTTCCGATTCTCTCCTTCACTGCAGGCCAGTGAGCAAGTGGCCATGTGGGGCTTAGTGGCCAGCTGCCATAAAACCACTACAAAAGCTCTCTTCTCAGTTAAACACTTACAAAATTTCAAAATACTCTCAGTAAAAACAGCCTATTTTTCCACTGAACCACAAAATCCACACACACAGTGAAACAGAAGCACTCTCTCAGGGCAATGCTCAGCCTGTGCAAGCCCAGGAGCAACTGTTAAGTGACCACTTTCACAGTCAATGAAAGAAGGCAGGAAATGAGGAACACCAAAGATCTGAATTTAGGGTCTCATATTCAGTCACTGCTACATGCAGTCACCAAACTGCATGTTGACTTTTCAGCTTTAACATACTTACCTGTTGAAGTTGCCATATCGGATTTTAAATTTGTACACAAGCCTGCCTGCGTGAAGAAACCTTGTTTCAGGCAACGGATAGGTAAATGGTTTCAACGACATCTTTCTTTCTCCACCAGTGCCAGCCTAGGGAGAGTCAAAGGTCAATTACTAAAACCCTTCACAAGATCTCATTCTGTCGTAGAAGAAAAGGTTACAGGCAGTTTTCCCTTTAGAGGACACTGGCAGGGAGAACAGACTTCCTACCAGTACCTCCTACAAGTCAGAAAATCGCTGATGAAGGGTCCGTTCCAATAAAGCAGAG